GGCGAGTAATTTGGCGTCGGTCCGGGGTTTATACAGTACGATTTGATCGAGTTATTCCAAAAATCAGATTTCGCGCGATTGTGATGTTTTTTTTTTCCCTGTCCCCAGCCATCTATACCAACCCAGCCACTCCTCCCACGAAACCATCAACCAAGAAGCAACACGGACAGCCACTGATTTGGAATACTCACAGCAATACGGAAGCACAGTCGCACGGATGATTCCAGCCAGCATTTCGGTTTTGCGACATTGCGATTGTGACAGAGCTCAGCTGGAAGATAATACCAAGACCGTGGCACTGGCAGCGGCCGGCCCACACCTTACAGCTGTCGCAATTTTATCTCGATCTCGGGTGCCCCGCTGGCCGATCAGCTGAATTGAAAACAACACCATGCATTGGCGAAGGATCTTTTTTTTCGATAGATGCGCATTTTCACGGTGCGTCCGAAGGATGGAAGAATTTGGCAGCTGAGGGCAGGTAGGTGGGTGAGGCCATACATTATCGATACCAAGGCATCACGCGATCGATCCTTGCTCGGAGGAATGAGCCCTGGACACGTCAAAGTGCGCAGTCACAGATTCCAATAGTCTGCGCAGCGAGAGAGTAGCCGAAGCTGTTCTGGGCTTCTTGATTCCTGGCAGAACGAGAGTGGTGGGTCGTTAAGCGCCCTTAAGCGCCATAACCCTTTGCGGCGCAAACAAGGTTAAGTTACCTTGGTGCATTTTTCACACAGGGGCTTTCTCGCAGGGCAAAGCCACGATAGATAAGAGATCATGCCCTAGAAACTTCGAAAGTCGTGTGCGCGGCCTGGAACTGCAAGAGCGGAAAAAGTATGAGTAAAATTTCGGTGTGATGATATACAGCTGAAATGAAGACTTGAGGTGAGAATAAGCAGTCGAGAATAGGTACGCGCCGGATTTGCAAGCCACTGGTACACATTCATCATTCCTGCAGGAACACCCGCAACCAAAACTGTAGGATCATTCCAAGGATGTCAAAACCAGCACACAGAAGCTGCAAGCTGCTGACCCAAGCATACCATTATCGCAAAAGATCACGCCAAGACGTACGTGCCCTGCAGACTTGCCAGCCCTCGCACGAACACGCCTCATAGGGAAAGACATCTGGGGGGCCCTGAAGGAACTCGGGGGTTCTTCTTGTCGCTTCCATGATTAACAACAGACTTTGGCTCGTGGCGCAGGGCTGGAAGCGGAATATGCTTCTCGCAAAAGGCTGCACGTGGAAAGTTGGGAAGGTTTGCGCCTCCGCATGTTCTATTAACATTAGCCGCTGGGACAACAACAGAGAAGTGGATAGGGGGTTATGGAACGAGCATAGATCGTGGTTACAAGGCTCGATGTACATCTAGGCCATTATAGGAGCTGTGCAAACACGAGGAAGATGGAAAAAGATGGTTGCGATGTGTGGGAGAAGGTGTTTAGGGGCCTGGTTGTCGGCGTTTCTTCAACTTCATCCGATGCATGATGGCTTGAAGACTCGCTGCGCCAGCCGCGAGGCGCTTACTGCTTAATGTCAGCCGCCAACAAACATGCGAACTATTGAGACATGCATGTCTTCGAGGTACAGGTACAAACAAATCAATGAACCTCGAGCTGAATATAGAGCATTTTCATGCACGATGATGGTTCGATGTTTGGACATTCGATGGACGGGCTGAAATTCGGTGGAAAGTGCAACCGTCAACGACATGTCTGTGCTTCATCAGCCACCAAAAAAATTCTCCGTTTCAACAACCAGCAGAGATCTACCCACACAACAGCAAAAATGATCACGCCAGGGGTCGAACCTGGAATCTCTTGATTCGTAGTCAAGCGCCTTGCCATTGGGCCACGCAACCATTGCTGGAGAACAAGTCGATCAAGATGCGATAACACTCTCATCACGCGGACCGCTGCCATTGCTGAGGTGTGCCTGCACTCGCAGCCTTCAGTCGATATCCTGTATTGGGCTTCTATATAGATGTGCATCTTGCAAGGTCTCTTGCCGCGACAAGTTCTGTCCGCTTCTCGAAGAACAATGTACGGGCGAACTTGACAAACCAGCACCTAAGATTGTCGAGTTCAAGGTTAGCTTTACCATCAAAGATCTCGTGCTCACCAGCCAATTTTTGAAGATGTTCCTCGACCAATTCCTCAATCTCTTTCATGCCGTCCTCGAGAGCCATTTTCACTTCCAGAGAAGCATCTTCTACCTTTTCCTGTATGGCTGCTTCTGCTTCCTGGCAGTCAACGTAGAAGTTATTGTGATATTCGTCCATGAGTTTTTCGATGGCATCTTTTGTGTGGAGAGGTAGCCCGGACTCCACGAGATACTTCATTCGGGCTTCCACCTCGGTCGTGAACAGGTCTCTAACCAGAGATACGAGTCCAGGGCTAGACAAGCGACGACTACGAGGCTCCTGTCGCTTATGGAGTAGGGCAGCGTCAGGGGCCAGGCTCAGTATGGCTCCATGGCCGGACTGTATGATCGCTTCGCGAAGCACATGCTCAGGGACAGTCGCAAGCATATTTGCGAGGAGAGTAACCTGGCTATTTTCCTTGGGGGAGGTAGGCTCCTTGCGGTAAGGGGGAAGGGTGAAAACAGTCGGTCGTATATCATTTGACTGACCAGACCTTGTGGTGGGCGTTGTGTTGACCTCAGTAGGGGAGTAAGGAGGAGGAGTGGTGTATACATAAGGGGTAGGGCGCTTGAGGGGTACATCGAGGGAGGATACCGAGGCTGATGATATTCAAATTAGCATCCCAGCATTCTTTCTGAGTATCACAATCTAAGCCATCACAATGCACGAGGCTTGTATAAACATCGTGTGTGTCCAAGGAGGGGCCAATCATAGCAGATGTCCAGCATACTCCCGAAGTGCCAGCCAGGGGCTACCACACCTTCTTGCCTTGCGACAGCACTCACAGATCGACACAGCGTGGGGAGGAATGCGAAGTTTCTTACCTTGTCTTGATCTCTTGCCTAGCTTTGATGATGTCTCCTTGTGGCTGGACCCTGAGGCTTTTGGGCTGAAGACCTGCCATGTGCCTTCTTGCAAGCCTCTGCCACGATCGGCTCTTTGAAGATTCAGTGGCGGTGCCTCTAGATTACCCTCGTCGAGACCAATCACCAACTGTTCCAATCTCGGCCTCTCTTGTTGATCAAACTGAGCTTTGGCAAAGTGTACATAGATAGTCGTTGCTTGACAGACATCGATGAATGACTGAAAGTCGGCATCAGATGGATCAGTCGAGCGTACGCTTGTAAGGTCTTTGGGATAGTGCACAGCGCCAGGCGACTTTAAAACAAGGGCAACACTCAAGACATCAGATGGGCTTGCGAGCGAGGTAGGTATACATTTCAACAGCAACGGCGACAGTGATGTCTCCTCAGCTATGGAACAAGATTCGACAATCGAGGGTTGTATGTGAAGCACAACATGTCGAGGAGGATTATTGTTTATTCCAACCAGGCTGGCAGCATGCTGCAGTTGAAGTGATATCGAGGCCTGACCATTATGGTGCACAAAGCGAACCTGACAGCGACAACCACTATCTGGGTCGGAGCTCTGCACAAATGCTACTCTGCGGCATCTCCAAGCATCACCAGTTATAGCCGCCATGTCAGTGCAAAGATGCAAATAATGATTAAAGGTTGAGAACCCCTGAGCGTGAAAGTATCAGGAAACCCTCCCACCCGGGCTTTTGTTGACGGTGAGCAGCCCTGACTCTTGAAACGAGAAGATAATGATTTGAGCGAGGAAGCTCGACAGCATCAGCGTGAATATCAACAACAGCCTGCGCCTACGTGCAGCGGTGATGCGACAAAACGTATCCTCTCCGAAGAGAATATTGATAGGTCCGGTCACAAGACGGCTGAAGGTATTGACAGACTATTACCAATGGACAGGCCTAACTGCAATGGGAGTATGTGGAGGAACAAGATTGTACTGGAGTGGAAGGTGCTATGAAGTGGCAGCAGCGACGCGCCCGCAAGGCACCAACATGACGCGGATCAAAACTGGCCAAAATTGTGCGTTTGATATCTGGCCATATATCTTGGTGCCAAGATCTGTCTCTGGAGGAAGGTGCGACAACAACTGATACATCAAGCTGAATTGCGACAAGACCTTTCACCTGATTTGGGACAATGGTATTTCTTTGGGCATCAGGTCATCAACGCCGTGCACACCGTCTATACCAGTCGGAGGCCACGACCGACTCGTTGTGTGGCTGCATAGGCGACGCCGAGGGATTTCGGCGCAATCAAAGCTTCAACAGCTTACCGATTTAGAGTCGCACCATAACGAAGAATTTTCCATCACCGGAAGACCTCTTCTCGTTTTTGGTATCTCACCGATCGTTGTAGGAACCTGAACCAGTGCTCGGTCCTCTGCTTTTCAGCTGCTGTCTGAACGTCTCATGTCGTCGGACCCCGAGCGAACCAATAACTTGTCTTGGCGAGGTTCGCACCAGTCCAGAAGCCGTCAAACTGAGACAGCTACCGTGCATCTCCAGCTTTTCACCGCGTTTTCTATGCTCGCATACCATAGCAACCTGAACCGAGACCGTGTCAAGAACCACTTCTGCTTGTATCGCTTGCATGCCATGCACTTCTCTTCTCGGTCTTGCCGTGCGGTACGCCATTCTTGAATCCCCGTGCTTCGAGTCCTTATCGAGTAACAAAGCAAAGCACGGCAGTCCGTGCTGAGTCTGAATCCAAGCCTCTATGCGGTTCGAATTGCTCCTATTCGTCCCGCGAGACGTCTTTCGCCTTGCCCATTAACTCAATTAGCTTAGGGGTTGCTGTTTGTAGCGCATTTTGAAAGACCGTTGTGGCATCTTTGGGGAAATCACCCCCACGAACGAGCGGTTCATCTCGATGGCACCGTCTCTCTGTGACAAAAACGCTCCGGCACTTTGTTCGCACCAAGTGGATATCCCGTTGGACTCTCCCGGACTTCTTCCATACCCCTGGGCCATAGCTGACTGCTATGCAGCGCGCTGCGAGCGCCTGCGAGCGCCACAGACCTCGCTAGCTATGGCTTTGAAGTCTGGGATCTTGTTCACCTGGAATAGTCTCGGGCATCTCCAGCATCGTGGCTTTTTACGATTCAAGCGCCCTTTTCTAGCTCGGTGCCTCCGAAGCTAAGCGCAGACATGGAACTCTGGGACCTGGCTGGTCCAGAGGGTTCATGAGCCACATGTATGCCATGGATGAATATATATATTGGGTAGGTGCCTGTTGCATCTCGAACATCAACTCACTCAACTTCCTCATCAACAATCAAGAGCAACCTCCTCTCGACTCTTCTATCTTTCCACAATGCGTTCTTACATCGCCGCTGTTGCCTTGGCAGCTCTTGCTCAGGCCCAGGACCTTGACATGGATGCCATCGCCCAGTTGACTCCGGTCCCTGATGTTACCATCCCTGTTGTCTACGCTACTGCCCCTACCACCACTGCCACTGCCACAACTCTCTCTTACACCAGCGAAGATTCAGCTGCTGCTGTGAGCTCGGCTCTGGCTGCCGACCCTTCGGACTCGTTCCCTCTCGACTCTGCTCTTGCCAAGCGTGCCACTTCTACCTCCTGCCAGGTCCAACCTACCGGCGTTTCTCTTGGACCCCAGTCTACTGACGACTCTCCCTCTGCTTTCTTGGCATACCCTTCTTTCTCGGCCACCGCCGTCGCAGCAGCATCTTCTTCTGCTGTTCCTAGCGGCTACGTCAGCACCTTCAGCAATCTGCAGGCTAGCAACAACGCTTATGGCTACATGGGCTACACTTTGCTCACCGATTACGACACTCAGAAGTGCGCAGACAAGTGCACCAAGATCAACGGATGCCAGGCATTCAACATATACTACGAACGTGACCCTAGTGTCAACCCTGACTCCGACAGCTGCAACAACCCTCCAAGCACAACCAACATCAAGTGTGTCTTCTGGTCAGGACCTGTCACCCCTGACAATGCCAACAACGCTGGTCAATGGCGCAACAAGTTCCAGGTTGTGATTGCTGGATCCAACGGATATGTCAACCAGTCCATCGCCACCCCTGTCGGCTACAAAGCTGGTGTCTACCTTGGCAATGCTGCTATCAACGCTCCTCTTGACTGCACTGGTGATGATTCCTTCCTTGGCTCGAGATTCCTCGGCAATGGCGTCTTTGATGCCAACCTCTGCGCAGTTGCTTGCAACGAGCAGGCCAGCTATGCTATCCAGCACCCTCCCGCCGACGGCTCGTTCAACAAGGTCTGCACCTTCTTCAACACCTACATTCTGTACAAGAACGGCCAGCCTCTCCAGCAATCCTGCGCTCTGTACGACCAGACCTGGTCCCAGTCATACGCCAAGAACACCGGTTACTACTACGGCTCTGACCACTACACCATTGGTTTCTCGTACACCTTCTCCAACGCAACCAACGGTGGCCAGCCCAGATACCCTTGCAATGTCGCTTCTGCCAAGTCTGCCATTGTTTCTGCTTCTCTCCAGCCTTACTGCTCTTCGCTCCTGGGCTTCAACGCTGCTAGCGCTACTCAGACCGTCACTGTCACCCCTACCGTCAAGGCAACTACCTTCACCACCGTTGGTGCTGCTGTCAAGCGTGACGCTACCTCCACCCCTTCTGCTCTCCAGAAGTACCCTGCTTCGGTCATCACTTCTGCTTGCGGTCTGGCTGCTACTTCGGTCTCGGTCATCACCACCACTGCTACCGCTGCTGCCACTACTGTTTACATCGCCACCTCGACTGTTTCTCAGTAAACAGTAGTCTTGATAGATGCGGAGGATTAATGTCTGGAAGCTGCGAGTCATGAAGGGTTGGTGTTTTCATTGGGTCAAAGGAGTTTTCTGAGTTTAAAAAAGATATCATGGGGAAGGGGGAGTTTCTTTTCTTAGTAGAATTGTACATAGAACATGCTCTACGACGTTATTCATTTTCCATTTTCAAGACTTGTGTTCTTCTGCAGTGCATGCATGTCTCAACCTGAAGTCGTCTAGTGTCTTCATGACTTCTGTGTGCTCTTGACTCTTGTGACCCTCGTCTTGCTGTGCAAATAACGAAGCGACCACGCAACAGAAGTAGTACAAGAACAGCCAAAGTACAGACCCGAGTCAAGCAAAGAAGCATTCTCGTGTCTGCTCAACCAAGGAAGGTGTGTAAATGACACGCAAACTTAGATAAGGTCTCTCGATGCCGGGTTTTGCTTTTTCTGACTCTACTATAGATCTTGATGGGTCGGTAGCCAGTGCTTTTTATATGGCAGACTATACTCTCAGGACGGACCAAGGTTCTCACAATTACCCACTGCTGTACTTACGAGCCTACATCTCTTGACTCTCCCTCCCTTCTTCACATCTCTCATCTCCCTCCTCATGAATAGCAAGAAGAGCAAAAAGAAATGACCGCAGCAAGTGAGATTCGAACCCACATCTCCCCTCAATCCAGCGGCATCTCCAGGTCACGCGTTCTCGTTTTCGAGCCACGCGGACCTGGCAGATAATTGGAGGGGCGCTCTAGCCATTGAGCTATCGCTGCTTCTTGTTACGGAGAGTCCAGTCTTGGTTGGTCATAAGGCGCTTGACCGAATAACAAGTAAGAGGCCCGGGCTCGATTCTTTGAGGAGAGAGGGAATTGATTTTGTGAGAGAGGATTGCGGACGCTGATAGTAGTGAAAGTTGATGCGAGTTTAAGTAAGTAGAAAAAAGACCTTTGCGAACGCCTTACTTTTCGATCTGTAGATATTTCTCAGCCCGCAAATTGACAACACATCGCCATAAACGTGGTACCGCCCAAGTAACGAGCCCTCGACGCCATAAACAAACACAAATCTCTACACGCAAGTCCAAAACTAATGGTGGTCAGAGAGATCTCATCCGGCAGTGGGAAACTGAAACACAGTAACATAATACTTGTGCACCTAGACAAGCAAACGATAAAGGCAAAGTGACAGATACCCGTAGAATCAACAATGATCATTTTGAAGCTTCTGACTTTTGCATAAATACAGCCTATACCGTTCTTCCCTTTTATGTTTTACTTGTATCGCTTTGTCCTCTTCTGTTCTACTTTTACCGTTCCTTTTGATTTGACTTTCACTCAATCGCTCCTTCCACTTCTGTTCTAAACTTGATCGTTCCTTTCTAGTTCTGTCAGTACTTTATCTGTTCCTTCCGTTCCTTGTATCTTGCATAGAGAAGGAAGATGCGACTACGAAGAGGGAAGGAGCGACTGACGATGAAAAAAAAGAGGAAGTAGCGACTACGAAAAAGGAGAGCGATGCAGCAACTCCAATAGCCAAGCCTTCCTTGAATCTCCAACTTTCACGCGTCTCAGAATGTCGAGTCGAATGACTGAAGTATGTAGACAGAAAGAATTACAGCTACCGAATGAATGAGTTAAGAGAGTGTAATGGAAGATGTTCTTGTTCAGATTGTACAAATTTCAGCTGAGGATTTTACATTAATACACACCACCCCAAAGCCAGCACGACGCATCCCATCATCCACTCGGCCACCTCGAATTTCGCTACCCCACCTGTGTACGCACTTCCAATGGAGCTAGCAGCAGGAACAGCAGACCCCTTAGCATTATACGTAACCGTCGGTGCCACATTAGGGAAACTGGCAGTTGCGTTTGAGCTCGAGTTGCTTATAGAAGGAATTTCAGTATAAGTCATTTTACTCCCCTTAATCTGCTGCAAAATCTTCGCAGCATGCACAGCAACCGCATAGGTCAATCCCATAGGATGCGCCGAAGGTTGGTAAGGGAAAATACTTCCGTCCACAACACGAACATTAGAAGTTCCATAGACCAGCATCTGAGAATCTACTGCGCCACCTGCAGAGCGGGCAAGCATAGGCAGACCTCCGGTAAGATGTTGAGAAGTTCCCGAACGCTCATAGACGATTTGCTGATACTCTGCTGGAGAAAGATTATGATCAGGGTCCGTCTTCGTCAAGACACTCGAAAAAGGTTCGTGAGAAGCAAGTTCAGTGACGTAGAATTGGGATGCACGGGAGAGGAACCACATGTCCCAGTCCACGGTCTCGTTGCCGATGGTTGCGGTGACGGAATTGTAGTTTGGATTTATTACTGGAGCGGCCATTGGGTCTGAGGAGTTGATGTGTACGGTGCCTTGACTGAGGGGCACTAGAGTGTAAGGCATAGATTGTGTGCTGCTGTATTGCCAGGCCATCTCGATCAAAGGCTGGCGGGAATACCAGAGATGCTTGAAGACTGTGAATTGTGCATCTTCTAAGCCAGGAATTGAGGCAGTAGAGTTAAGCCATACAGATGCAGCATTGTAGTCGGAAGGAGACAATACATCCTGGGCTGGGCGCAGATCGATGTAGTTCTGAGCGTACTCGCCACCAGTGAAGTTGACGCTGAAGTTGTATTGAAGTGGTTGGTATTGCATCATCAGTGGATCTCTGAGCCCTGTGCCCACACTGCTGAGATTGACGACGGGCGTGATGTTGAGCGGCATCAGAATATCAGGGTTACCAATACCAGAACGTTCTAAAATTGGTGGTGAGCCTGCGATTCCAGATGACAGGATTACTTCGTCGGCGCGGATCATGAGGCTGTTGTTCGAAGTGCGACCAGAAGTATCCACATAGTTGAGTCCGCGAGCAGTAACATTTCCAGATGCTGTCGAGGCCCAGCTGATGTTCGTGACTTGAGCGTTGGTGTAGAGATGCAGGTTTTTCCTATCCTGAACAGCAGTGTATGCAGATCCAGAATAGCTTCTCGTGTAGTTGCTTGGACAAATAGCCAGAGGCAAGAACCCAGCGCCAGTAACATTGCCACCGTTGCGGTCGCCAGGAACCGCATAGCCAGCAGCAAGCAAGGCAGGGGTCACGTAGTCAGACAGCAAAGTCAAGACACTACGTTGCAGAGTCGAGCAAATGTATCCAGAAGAACCATGGTTCGCGGGGTTCGGGTGCTCAGCAGAGGATGCATTGGCAGGAGGAGCAAAGAATATTTCACTTTCTCTGAAGGCAGTCGAAAGAGTCTCCCAGTTCCAGCCAGTCAGATTGAGCAACGATTCCCAGATATCGAGTTGGACGCGAGAGTCCTCGTTGTGGATCATCCAGTTCATAGCACTTGTTCCACCTACACATGAATCAGGAGACGTTCTCTCATCGGACCATCGTATGGCTTACCAATCGTCTTGCCTCTGTTGACAGCTTGACTCCTATTCTCATACAGACCAGGTTGAACAGTACTATAGTAATCCCAATCATATTCCGTATCGATGATGTCGCCTCTCAATTCCGGGATAGTGATATTTGGGTTGGTGCGACCATCTGCGCCAGCTTCAAGAACGGCGACATTGATGGTTGGGTCTTCGGTAAGGACGATAGCCAAGAGAAGTCCAGCTGTGCCAGCGCCTGCGATGGCATAGTCATAGACTTGTGTGGTGTTCTGAGCTACTGCTGATGCAGCGGCTGTCAGCAACAAAGACGCTGTGAGACGCATTTTGTCAGTCTTGAGTTGTTTTCTCAGTTAAGCGCAGGAGAGCAGAGCTTCAGGTTCGAATCACTCTTCTTTGTATTTCATATGTCCGACCCCTCAGCAAGTGGAACACAAAAGTCGTGAACGTCATCCAGCATACTTGACGAGCCGCGCCGACATGTTCTGCCATGTTGATGTGTTATTGGCGTTAGACATGGTTGTGCCCCTCGGCATGTCTTACCAGCTGAAAACATGATGTGAAAATGATGGAGTTGTGCATCGGCAATGCAGATCTCCCTTTGCTTTTGCCGTCGTGGGGTACGGCTTGATCTCCGACTTCATGTCGCTCAGCTGCTTGGAAAAAGATCCATCGCACAAGATCAAACTTTATGGTTATATTTCTTGCAGATGCTGTGAATAGTAGAACAACAGGTGGTGCTGATCTGTTAATTTGAACAAAGGTCAGTAGGAAGGGAACATCAAAGTCATTCAGAAATCTTCAAGCCGTCAGGTGAAAGAGGAGAACATCTTGATTCAATTCAGTTCTACTTTCCCTCTTCCTCTTCTCCATCCCGACCTCTGATAATCTCCTGTAGAAAGAACGCCAATATAGTATAAAATTCAAATCCCGGTTGAATGGGGGTATCTCTCGCTTTTGTCATGCTTCGTTAACATAGATAGGAACGCCGTTGAAATGCTGGTTTCGTTGAATGTCTGGTGGGGTGTTGAATATCTTCTTGTTGAAGAAGATCGTAATGAGAAGTTTGGTTGTGCAACTCTCAAAGTGCAGTAAAAGAAAAACAGAATCAAGGAAATCGTCGTTTATGGTGTTGGTCCTGTTTTGGTCAAGGGTGAATAAGTATGGTGGTCGCTTAGACGCTGGTGGAAGGGCCTGCTCCGGTGTTGTGGGCAGGTGCATCCTTGGGCTCGGTAGCGGGCTTTTCGTCTGCGCCATTAATTTCCGTTTCGAGTTTCTTGTGCACGCTGTCAGGAATTTTAGTGTCGGTGACGTCGCCGTTGCCAACCTTTGGCTCTTCCTTCTTCTCTTCATCGTGCTTGTCGCCGTTAGCGGTGCCATTGACCTGCTGAGGAACTTCGGGGACTGGCATGTCCTTGTCCATCTCGGGAACTTCGAGGTTCTCAAAGAGAGGGAAGATGCCACGTTGCTCGCGGAAATCGTTATTAACGATGTTGACGAGGTACCAGTTCTGCATCAAATCGTTGATGACGTAGCGAGAAGGAGATGTTGCGTCGTAACAACGAGACCAGTCAAGACCGAGGCGGTAGAACTCATCTCTCCAAGCGAGGAAAGACACAGTCTCCACGATGGTAGGCTGCACAATCTCCTTGCCAGGGAAGACACCCCAGGTGACAGCGTTGGGGCCCTCATCAGGGGAATTGGTCTTCAGGTCACCGTGTTGGTTAACAGCGAAGTAGGTGATGTTAGGGTTACGCTCCATGCGAGTGATAAGCTCAGAGATCAGTTCAGGAGAAACCAGAACTTCGAGGTAGGCCTTCTGGTAGACGTAGCCATTGCGAGGACCCCATCCATAGACGGGATGACTAGACTTAGCACCATCGACAGGAGGTTGCGAGTTGATGGTCAGAAGACCACGCTGGTTGAGGTCGATCAAATCCTTGCGAAGAGCATCGGCCTCGTCGGTGATGGGACTTTCACTCCAAGGCAGAGACTCGACTTTGCCTTGCATGTAGCCGGCGAAAAGATTGGCCACATCGCGGAAGTTCTTAGGCTCTCCCCAAAGCTTGCGGTTCTGCTCGTTGGTACCCTTCAAGCCAATACCATACGTGTCGAGCTCTCCGTAAGCGGGAGATCTACTGTCACCCCATCTGCCGTTAGGGAACTCATCCCAATCTTGAGTGCGAGCAATGTAGGAACGGTTGCGATTACGCCAGAAAATGGGACGAACGTTTTCGTCGCGGCGGTTGAGACCAAGAGACTGCCTCCAGGGAAGGGGCTTTTCGAGAGGAGTTTCTTGCGAGGGAGTGATGCTGAGCTCTTCCAGGATCATGCGCGTGGATTGAGCCAAGTTCATGGTGTAGAAGTGCAAGTGCATGATGCCGTTGTCGAGAAGCTTGCGACACAATTCGACAACCAGACCAGTACCGACATCTCTGACAGCAGCATCATCGTTCTTGACGGGCTCGAGAGCCTCGTGCCACGAAGGTGGAACGTGAATGTTGGACCAGTTTGCGCGTCGCAGGAAAGCAGCGTGGGTGGAGATGGGCATAATACCAGGGACAATAGGAACAGTGATACCAGCAGCTCTGACCTTCTTGACCCAGTCGAGGAAGATGTCGGCATCGTAGAACATCTGGGTGACGATGAAAGTACCACCAAGATCAACCTTCTCTTTCAGATGCTGGATCAGCTCTTCGGGATCGTCGTTGTCATCGCAGCCTTCTGGGTATCCAGCGACACCAATGTCAAAGTGATCGCCGTAGGTCTCCTTGATGTACTTGACGAGATCCTTTGCGTATCTGAAACCTCCGCTAGTAGCCTCCCACTTTTCCTTTTCACGAGGAGGGTCACCTCTGAGAGCGAGAATGTTTGTGCAGCCTGCGTCGTGGGCCTCCTTCAGGGCTTCATCAATCTTTGACCTGGGCATATCGGTACAAGTCAAGTGCATGCAGGTCTCGAGACCGTAGACGGTTTGGGCAACTTTGACCATCTCGCAGGTAAGCGAGGCGTGTCGGCCACCAGCGCCCCATGTGATATCAATGAATGAGGGACCGAAGTTGTGCATACGGTCCATACGATCGTAAAGGTTCTGAACACCCTGGGCCGTCTTGGGAGGGAAGAACTCGAACGAGTAGGTCGCCTTCTTCTCCTTGGCGGCAGCCTGGAGTTTCGCTGAAATATGCATGTTGGCGGTGGTAGATGCGAATATAGATGTAGTTGTAGGTAGGTTGTTGTTGGATTAATCGACGGCGAATTTAACGCGACGGTTGACTTGTCTGTGGCGAGCAATTAGTCGTTTGGCCACGAAGAAAAGGACGAAGAAGATGAAGATTGGGACTCGGTCCATGGCAAAGATGTCCGTCTTGTTTGCACATGTTGTACAAGTGGTCGTGTTTGTTGCAATGGGCAGGGCATTGGGTACCTACACTGCTTAGGATTGTTCTCTCGTTGTCCACTATTTCTGTTTGTTCCGTCTTTGTTTCAACAGAAAGAAGCCAATGGAATGTATCAATCTAACCGAAATATCTCTTGCGCGCCCACCTGTCGGCCAGCACTCTAGACATAAAGTGAATGGAAGCGGAATGGGAAGAAGGAGAGGAAAGAAGATTTTCCCAAGTGCATGACGCTCTCGAATCTCGAACGACCTGCTGCGACCCTCGGACTGGCGAGGGCCCTTCGTTTCCTGTGAAGACGTGGTCTGTGCGTTGATGAGATGGGCCATTCGTGCTTTCCCCGCCGCCGCTTTCGCTGGGCCAAGCTCCTGCCCCAAAGCAGCGGCAACAACACCGAACAACTCCTGCCTCGACTGAATCCTTCCTAATTGAGTATCCCGGCTCTTCCTAATATAAATACTAAAGATACATAATCTCTCCTCTCACAGGTCTATCTCGCCCCTTCCTTCTGCAAAGCCAAACTCTCTCCCTGGACACCCTTACTCGCGGAACATCCACCCCATTCCGTTGAACCCCACAGTCATTGCGTACGAAATTCAAAATCATGTCATCGACATCCGCAGTCGGACCCCGCCGAAAGATCGTGGGCACGAGCCTGAAGATGTACTTTGACCTGACCAAAACCCTAACCTATGCCGCCGACCTCGCAACCATTGCTTCCCAAGCTGCTAAACACAACATTGATCTCTTCATCATCCCAGACTTTGTGTCTTTGTTGCCTGTCAAGGATGCGTTGAAAGGCACTGATGTCAAAGTGGGTGCTCAAGATGCTTTTTGGGAGGATGCGGGAGCGTATACTGGAGAGGTCTCTTGCAGGACGTTGAAGCAGGCTGGTGCGAGTATCGTTGAGTTGGGACATGCGGAGCGTAGACGTCTATTTGGAGAGACTGATGCTACGGCTGCGAAGAAAGCCGCTGCTGCGTGTAGGAATGGTCTGGTTCCTCTAGTGTGTATTGGCGAGAAGACACATGGCAAGATTGCTTCTCAGGCCGTGGGCATGGCTATCGAAGAATGCAGGCCGCAAGTCATGAGTCTTCTGCAAGCCATACCGGATGATGCGGAGCTCATTCTTGCTTACGAGCCTGTCTGGGCTATTGGTGCGAGTGAGCCAGCGGATCCTGATCATGTCGTCGCCGTGACCCAGCAGATCAGGAAGATGGCTGAAGGACGCAAAGGCCTGACAAGGATTCTGTATGGCGGAAGTGCTGGTCCGGGAACTTACGACAGACTCAGAGAAGGTGTCGACGGTTTATTCTTGGGGCGCTTCGCTCACGACATCAAAAACCTCGAGCAGGTCATCAAGGAGATGAGTGATTGATAGAAGAACATCAAATCGAGCTAAAAGTTGTCATAAATTTGGCTTTGAATTACAAGATCATCATAATGCCACCTCGCTATCCACTCTCTACCTAATCTTGTACAGGCAGGGCTTGAGCACCTTGGTCTCATCCTCGACACTGACCTCCTTGGTCTCTTCCTCGACAAACTTCTTGAACTTGGGCTTCCATGTTCCATTCTCGCCCTTCCTCTCTTCACCAGCCGCTTGCACATTCTTGCCTACCACAGGTGCAGCAGCCTTAATGAACTCCATCTTGACAAACATCTTGTTGCTCAGATCCACAGACTTCTCGTCCTTGAGCACAAAACCTCTTCGTCGCAGAACTTCGACGAAGCCAGAAACATCGGTCTCTTCGTTCTTCATGACCACCTCATCAACGTGCTCACGCAGAGCTGCCTCTTCCTCCTCAGCGGTAAGTTTGGCACGTGTAGCATCCGCAGCCTTTGCCTTTGCAGCAGCTTTGCGGCGGTTGCCCACACTGTGCTCAACAACTTTCTGACCACCCTTGCCCTTGTCACCTCCGACTCTTCCAAATCTCGACTTGATCTCAGAAATCCACAGTTCACCCTTCCAGTGCAAGATTCTGTATGCCTCCTCGATAAAATCGATCCAATTCGTTCCCATCAAAGCCAAACAGAAGATGGCGACATCCATACTGCCATCTGCACAGGGTAGGTTCGCAATATCGGCTTTGGTGACAAACTTGCTCGGTGATTGCAAATCGTATGACGAGATCTTCAGGTTGTAGCGAGTACCGCTGCCGTCTTCGTGGAAGGTCGCAGCTAATCTTGCATCACCACAGCCCAAATCTGCAATGTTGCAAGTACCATGTGTGCGAGGTAGAGGGTTTGTCTTTTCACCAGTCGCTGGCTCTTCCTCTTCCTTGGGTACTTTTCCTCTCTTCACGTCACGGAAAGCCTTGTTCTGATTGTAGACCTTGACCTTCGCGCGGTCACGAATAGAGCGAATGAAGATATCGACGGGATTCTCAGGCCATGTAGTAACCTGCTGGCGGAAACCAGAGTGGTAGTCGTCGAACATTTCAGGGTTCTCTGCGAAGAGAGCGAGCGAAGTGGCCGAGGGAGCGGTATAGAGGGTCTCGTTCAAGTGGCGGAAACGGGCAGAGATGAGCTTCTGGCGCATAGCAATTTGCATCGGTGTGAGTTTGGCGTTGACGGGCAGGGAGGGAGGAGCAGCGGGTGTGTTGGCGACGGCCTTGGATGCATCTGCTGAGGCGGCTGCCTTTTCCTTTTCTTCTCTTTGCTTTTGGCGCTTCTTGTTCTTTGCCTTTTTGCTGTCTGATGTCTTTTCCTTCTCTTGTGTGGCAGCCTTCTCCTCTCCATCTGCTACAGGCTTCTCGGACTCTGCGCCAGCTGCAGCAGCCTCGTCGCCAGCCTCAGCCTTCTCCTTCTTCTCAATCTTGGGCTTCTTGGGCGCCTTCTTGCCCTCGATTGTTGTAGCCCAGAGGTCGCCTACGTTTGAGTCGTTCACATCTCTGGGGGTTCTGTCCTTGCCTCCTCTCTTTCTCTTCTTGGTTTGCGTCGAAGGTGCATTTGCGCCGTCCTCAGGTTTCTTGGCGGCGGGCTGAGCGGCTTGCTGTGTCTTGAGTGCGCTCGAGTCGACTGACCATCCTTTTACGGCGAACATGATTGCGATTTCTGATTTTGGGTGGGAGTGGTTACTCGCAAATCAAGGTCAGATAATTTTTGGGTTATCAGTACTGCCGGGCGGTCGAGAGCTCAACTTTAATCTCTAATCTTGGCGTTTACGAGCGCTTACCCTCGTGTTTCCACTACGAGTAGCTCGTTCCCACTCATACCAATTGCTTTGCGAAAGACTCGCTACGCTACTTCAACAAAGAACCAGACTCGAACTTGTCTCCAGCTGATCTTATGGCTGTTAGCACTAGTTGCTGTGAAAAATCAAGAGAAGCTGACCGCATGCTCCTTAGCGACCTTGTCTATTTCTTGCACTACCCCAAAATCATGTCTTGTACGCATGATTCAAGTGCAGCCATCCCAAATCCCTGACTTCTGCAGGATTTAGTTGAGCTCCACCAAGACGAGCTATTGGCTCGAGCACGACCTTGTAAGCAGCTAAATGGCTGCTATGCATATTAATTTGCATCCTTCGACCTATGAACATCACTCACCGGTGCCTAAGCGATGATCTCGCTATTTAATCTATATCAGCTCAAGGCTCTTGGGCATATCTTGAGCATATAAAAACCTGCTCTCCAGTCCCATTAGACCTCCAGCTTCTCTCCACTCTCGCATCATCATGTCTGTGTTTGATACAACAGCCGCAATGCCGTGGCCGATTATATACATCTTGTTGGGTGTTATCCTTACCAAAGCACTTTACGACTGGCCTCGCAAGAGAAACAATCTACCCTTACCACCCGGACCGAAAGTACTGCCACTCCTTGGCAATCTTACAGACTTGCCGACCGGCAGCGTACCAGAGTTTCAGCACTGGCTCAAGCATAAAGATACACATGGACCTATCAGCTCTGTCACCGTCCTGGGACAAACTCTGATCCTGATCCACGACGCAAAGATCGCTCACGAGATCCTTGTTGAACGTGCAAATATACACTCTGGCAGACCCAAGCTGAAGTTCGGGTTTGACTTGGTTGGATGGAATCGAGTCATGGCCGGAAAGCAATGCAACGCAACCTTTAAGCTGCATCGGAGATTGCTTCATCAACAGTTGGGCTCGAAGACGTCAGTGGAGAGGTACAATGAGGTTCAGGAAACTGCTGTTGGTCGCTTCTTGTGGCGTGTCAGACAAGACAACGGAGCCGCCTTGACCCAACACCTCAAAACCGAAGCTGGTGAATTGATCCTCAAAGTGGTCTACGATTACACTATCGAGCCTTTCAAAAAGGACCCGCTTGTCGATCTAGTTGACGAAGCCATGGAACAGTTCAGCCAGGCATCCGTGCCAGGCCGATGGATGGTGGATATCTTTCCCTTTCTGGCAAACTTACCTAGCTGGGTACCTGGAACTGGGTTCCAGAAGACAGCTGCAGCATGGAGACAGACTCTGGGAGACGTTGCTAATGTACCCTATGACTACGCCAAGCAGCAAGGCAAGAACAAGCAAACCAGCCACGCAGACTTCGTCACAAAATCCATTGGACAAGCACAGGACGGAAAGACACTTGACGCAACGGACGAGCAGGCTATCAAGTGGACAGCAGCATCCATCTATCTGGGAGGCGCTGATACCTCAGTCTCAACCATGAACGCCTTCTTCCTCGCCATGAGCATGTTCCCCGACGTCCAACGCAAAGCTCAAGAAGAGATTGATCGCGTCATTGGGAATTCTCGTTTACCCACCCATGCCGATCGAGAGAATCTTCCTTATGTCAACGCCATTGTCGAAGAAGCTCAACGCTGGCACCCAATTGCGCCCATGGGACTCCCTCACGTCACCGACAGAGAAGACATAATCAATGGCTACCGGATCCCCAAAGACTCCCTGTTGCTTCCTGCGATTTGGTGGTTTACTCGCGATCCTGCTGTATACCATGACCCTGAGGCTTTCAAACCTGAACGCTTTCTGCCGCCATACAACGAGCCTCCGGCCACTGCCTTCACCTTTGGCTTTGGACGTAGGATCTGTCCTGGTCGTGTGTTAGCTGATGCATCACTTTTCTTGGTTATTGCGCAGTCTCTTGCTGTGTTCAGCATCAACAAAACAGTTGACAAGGAAGGCAAGGTTGTGGAACCGGTACATGGTTTTATGAGCGGTACGGTTTCGTACCCGAAGGCTTTTGAAGTCGGTGTTGTGCCGAGAAGTCAGAAGCATGAGGAGTTGATTGATGAGGTTATTGAGCGGTATCCTTGGCAGGAGAGTGATGCTAAATATATCATTAAGGCTTGAGTGGATCAAATCGAAAATCATGTTGCACTCAAGCTAAATGCTGTCAAGCATGTGTTATCATCGTCAATTGATCTCGAACGTTTGGGGATGTCGATTTATCAGGCAGTGGAAGGAGCGATGCATGCATCTTCGTCCTGCCCCGCTTCCTTCGCAGGCAGCTAGCTGCCTAACTTACCTCTGTCAACATCAACATCAACATTCAATACCCTCTCCACACATCGCCGACATCATATCATTGCCAAACGTCCAAACTGAGCAAAAGGTCTCTTGTTCTTCTCTACTTCTGCTAGTATCGCGTGTGTCGACGGCTTATCATTGATCATCGCCTGCTTCGGCTGAGCAATGTGGCGCTTCTAGCCTTGCATACCGCTTTTCTGGGATCGGGGATCTCCTCTCATTCGGTGCATTCGTCACAAATAATGCACACATGCAGAAGGGCGGAAGTGCTCCGTCCAATGGATCCGAGAAATTGCATGAACCTGGTCGCTGCCTTTGACCGATCTCGAACACATATGCAGCAACCAAGGAAAGTGCCTGGCTGAAGCTCAGCCTCATATGCAAGAAGGCGCGCGTGACTTGTCAACAACATGAACGGTTACTTCTTAACGTGATTTGTCCCGGCACATCAGCTGCTTTTCCGCAGCTCAGCACCTCATTCCACTGTATATATCTCTACCCTGCGAGTGTTACACCACTATCATGGACAACCTTACAGTCCTGGAGAGTAGCGACCTCTACACGGTCGGCTGGATTGCTGCCCTTTACAAAGAGCTGGCAGCAGCCTAGGCCATGATGGACGAAGAACACGGCAAACCAGCAGACTTTGTGCAGCCTTCTTCCGATAAGAACAACTACTCCTGGGGCCGTATCGGTGATCACAATATTGTTGTAGCTTCGCTACCAGATGGCATGTATGGCACGACCAATGCTGCAGTGACAGCAAGCCAGATGCTGTCCTCATTCCGCAACATCAGGGTTGGCTTGATGGTTGGAATTGGAGCAGCGATCGCCAGACCAAGCCAAGCGCGCGACATTCGACTGGGTGATGTTGTAGTCAGCTTACCGCAAGGGCCGACAGGTGGTGTAGTTCAATACGACCTGGTGAAGAGCCGAGTAAGCGTTGAAAAGGGACATCCTACACACACATTGCAGCGCGTCGGCTTTCTCAACTCACCGCCTGAAGCTCTTCTCAAAGCTTTGACTTCTTTGCGGGCGCAAGTCGAGAGAAAAGGCTCCAAGATACCTCGCTTCGTCAAGGACATGCAAGCAAGGAACCCTGCAATGGCGAAGACCAAGCCCGGTCAACCAGGGTATGTCTACCAAGGACAAGAGAACGATAGACTCTTCGAGGCATCTTACATACACACACACAAGACAGGCTGCAACGACTGCGATCCTGCCAAGGTGATACTTCGTGAGAAACGCGATGATCCCGAAGAGCCGGAAGTGCATTACGGGGTGATTGCATCAGGAAACGAGCTTGTCAAAGATGCTGCCCAAAGAGATAGGATATTGGAAATGGTTGGCGAAGAGTGCATTTGCCTGGAAATGGAAGCGGCTGGCCTCATGAACTCGTTCCCGTGTCTGGTCATAAGAGGTATCTGTGACTATGCCGATTCTCACAAGAATGATGCGTGGCAGAAGTACGCTGCTGCTACCGCCGCCGCCTATGCTAAAGAGTTTCTGGCATGTGTGAACAGTGAGAGTTTAGCCAGGACTCCGAAAGCCTCGGAGGTCTTGAGACAAAGTTAGTCGCTTGTTTGTATACTTCCAAATACAACTGTCGATTCTGATGTTGACAACTCTCCAGTTTCCAAGGATACCGATGAGATAAGAACAAACCTCAAACTCGTCGGAGAAAAGATTGAAGAGATGAAGCTTGACGAACACCAAAAGAAAATTAGGGACTGGTTGTCAGCCCCGGACCATTCGACAAATTACACAAATGCACTGGAAAAGCGACACGAAGGGACTGGACTATGGTTCATTCGTAGCGAAGCTTTTAAGACATGGAAAAATCAACCCAACTCCTTCCTCTGGCTTCACGGCATCGCCGGGTGTGGGAAGACTATCCTCAGCTCCACCATTATAAATCATCTGCAAAGTGACGTCGAACCGGATCGACCGCTGCTCTATTTCTATTTTGACTTCAACGAGTCGAACAAGCAAAATCTCGAGAACATGCTACGCTCTCTGACGAGTCAATTGTACCAAGCACAGCCAGAAGCTCGAAGTCTTCTTGATGAACTCTGGCGGTCTCACGGAAATGGTAATCAACGACTGTCGAAACAATCACTGAGCTCAACCCTGCAAGAAATTCTAAGAAAAGTCACCAATACTAGCATCTTACTCGATGCTCTCGATGAGTCAACCACGAGGGGTGAGGTAATCACTTGGCTAAAAAGCGTTCTTGGACTCGGATCGGTTTGTCGAGTTCTTGTTACTGCCAGAAGGGAAGAAGACATCGAGGCAGGTTTTCGACATTGGATGCAACACGAAGATTGGATCGACATTCGGAAAGGTGATATTGATAGAGACATCAGAACATATGTTCATGATACAGTACGTTATAGCAGTGAGCTAGACAGATGGCAAAATAGACCAGATGTGCAAAATGAGATAGAATCCGATCTGGTGGAGAAAGCTGACGGCATGTAAGTCAAAGTTCCCGATTCGGAAACCAGCAGCTGATGCTAAGAGTGCTCAGGTTTCGTTGGGTGGCCTGCCAGATTGATGCCCTGAGGAACTGTTACGACTACCCCAGGCTTCAGCGGGCGCTTCAAAATCTTCCAAGGACGCTTGACGACACATATACTCGGATCCTGGAAAGCATACCCAAAGACCACATCGGACAGACCATGACAGTCCTCAACCTCTTAGTCTGGTCGGATTATACTTTCAGTACCATCGAGATAGTGGACGCTATCGCAGTCAATTTGGATGAGGACCCAGGATTTAATCCCAAGCACAGGATGCCAGTCCCTCGTGAGGTACTCAGACTATGCTCGAGTCTCGTTGTCGTCTCAAAGGATATACATTACCTGGGTGGCTACAAGGAAAATAAGTCGACGGATGTGGTCCGACTTGCACACTTCTCAGTCAAGGAATATCTGATTTCTGACCACGTCTCGAAAGCTTGTGGTTCGTTGCTCAGTGAGTCAGTTGCAAGAGCATATCTAGCTAGACTGTGCTTGACATATGTGATCGCGGTCGGAAGGCTGGCGTCTCTGGGCGGGCGTTGCGATGGAGTTCTATCAAGATCTTTATCAGGCTTCCCCTTCATCTATTACTCTAGCCAACATTGGATGGATCATGCGCAGGGAATTGAGGATAGGGACGAAAGCTTATGGAAATTGATCATGAGATTTCTTCTGGAAGAGCCTGACGCACTCTGGTTGGCAACAGAATACGCTCCAATCTATTGGGAAGAAGAATTTGGCATAACTCACAGCTGGACCAGGCCAATTCCTTACGCCAGCGCATGTGGCTTGACACAAGTGGTGGGACATCTCATTGACACAGGCGCGGGATTCGCAGATGCCGATGCAATCGCTAAACATGACTGTCTAGGAGATGCATTGGAACTAGCTTCGAGGAAAGCTCACGATACGATCGTACAACTGTTACTCGAGAGAGGAGCAAACGTAAATGCTAAAGATGGCGCTGCATTGAGAATTGCTATATCTTGTGGTTACGATACGACAGTAAAGCTATTACTCGACAGAGGTGCACATTTCAACGTTAGAGATGGCGTTGCACTGCAGAAGGCTGCAGGGTGCGGCAACGAAACAACTGTGCGGCTTCTTCTTGACAACGGCGCAGATATTGACGCTAGAAATGAGTATGGAGAGACTGCACTGTTTCGGGCTTCACGTTTGGGCTACGACACAACTGTCCAGCTATTACTAGACCGCGGTGCAGATATTGACGCTAGAAATGAGTATGGAGAGACTGCACTGTTTTGGGCTTCACATTCGGGCTACGACACAACTGTCCAGCTTCTACTGGACCGCGGTGCAGATATTGACGCTAGAAATGAAGATGGAG